TACACACACCACATTTCATTAATCCACTCATGTAATGATGGACACTTGGGTTGTTTCCACATCTTTGCAATTGTGAATTGTACTGCTATAAACATTCTTGTGCAGATGTATTTTATAGAAAGTCTTTTTTTCCTTTGGGCAGCTGCCCAGTAATGGAATTGCTGGATCAAATGGTAGTTCTACTTGTAGCTCTTTGAGGTATCTCCATACTACTTTCCACAGAGGTTGTACTAGTTTGCAGTCCCACCAGCAGTGTACGAGTGTCCCTATCTCTCCTCATCTATGCCAACATTTATTGCTTTGGGACTTTTTGATGAAGGCCATTCTCACTAGAGATAAGTGATATCACATTGTGGTTTTGAGTTGCATTTCCCTGATGATTAGAGACGTTGAGCATTTTTTCATGTTTGTTGGCCATTAGTCTCCCTTCTTTCGAAAAGGTTCTGTTCATGTCTTTTGCCCACTTCTTAATGGGGTTGTTTGATTTTTTTCTTGCTGATTTTCCTGAGTTCTATACAGATTCTAGTTATCATCCCTTTATCGGATATGTAGCATGCAAATATTTTCTCCCATTCTGTATGTTGTCTCTTTGCTCTCATGATAATTTCCTTGGCTGTGTAGAACCTTTTTAATTTGATCAGGTCCCATTCATTTATTTTTGTTGTTGCTGTGATTGCCTTTGAGGTCTTCTTCATAAATTCTTTCCCTAGTCTGATGTCTATGACAGTTTTTCCAACATTTTCTTCTACAATCTTATAGTTTCATGCCTTAGGTTAAGTCTGTTATCCATTGTGAGTTGACTTGTGAGAGGTGAGAGGTGCAGAGTCATTTTCAGTCTTCTACATGTGGCTGTCCAATTTTCCCAGCACCATTTATTGAATAAGGTGCACAGTGCGCCAAGTCCAGGGTGCCCGTGGCCCGTTGCTTTATTTTCCCTTTGAGATTCAGTAAGTCAATGGCTTCCCCACTAACAAAATTAGACTTTGACTCAATACCTCTCGGTGTATCAAAAGGTATTCATCTGGGGCCGGGCACGGTGGCTCACGCCTGTAATCCTAGCTCTCTGGGAGGCCGAGACGGGCGGATTGTTTGAGCTCAGGGGTTCGAAACCAACCTGAGCAAGAGCGAGACCCTGTCTCTACTAAAATTAGAAAGAAATTAATTGGACAACTAAAAATATATAGAAAAAATTAGCC